AATAAAAGGAAATAAATAATCGCTTCATCGCAACTAATGATCTTCACATTCCTGCAGCACTTCAAAATACAAACAACGTGAGCCCTGAGCATCCTGACGCTGCACCCTGGCTGACACCGGTGGCGGCAGCTCTGAGTCCCTGAAAGCTGTGAGAAAAAGGCATGCCACGCTTCAACAAGGCTGCGCTGAATTTATGGGCAGTCACGTCTTCCGAAGGAAAAAATGAACTGTGTATTAATCTCCTGTTCTCAAAATTTCTCTTCCTCCCTTCCTAAATGATTCTAATGCTTACCAAAAAGGCAAAGTCCTGATAATCATCTTATAATTCCCCCACTTCTGTATAAATTTCATTGTATTTTGAATTCAGGCACTTTTTCCTAACGTACACAATTAATAACTCTTTTCTTGTTCTCTTCAGTACATCACTTTCATTTTTCTTCTCATATAGAGATCTGCTGCAGTGCTCTGTGCTGCCTGAGATTTGCCCTTGTTCCAAAGGATAAGCCTTTGCATGTATATTGCATTGAGACGGAAAACTCTGTTAACGTTTCTGAAAATAGCAGCTGAAGACAGAAGGACTCATCCCTGACAATGTGGAAAAAGAAGGCAATGCTAAAGCTTCTCAGTAACACAGAGGTCATTTGAGTATACTACTTACTGATTTTGGGTCGGAGGACGGTCTTCTCATCCCCCAAGCATCAAGTGTTCTGGTACCCACTAAAGACCTCCCTTCTACATCATTAGAAACCTAAGTTCCTATGAAAGACATACAGGCTTATTTTCAGATGCCTAAACACTCTGAGTGATGCAACCTTTAATCTTTGTGCCCCACTTCCTTTGCTGTAAAACCATTCTGACTCTCTGCCCAAGACCCACAGGGTCTACCTAACCCCCTAAATCTACAAATTCCCTTTAGGTGCCATTAGGCACCCAAAGTAGGACAGAGACTTGTGCAAGTCTCCTGAATTTGTCTTGTCTTCCCAGCCTTGAGCACCATTTGTAAGAACTGGTGGACACTGCCATGGATGAGAACACGTTTTGAGTTTCCTAGAAGGTTAAACACAAAGCCACTCTTACACCCAGAGGAGCTGAGGTGAGGCTCTAGGCTTCACACCATCCACATGGCAACAGCACTTCTCGGGGCAGCCACAAATTCATTACAATACCATGAAGCGTGAGAGCACAGATAATAATTACCATCAGCTGATAAGGCTATGACCTCGGCTCTAGGACCGTGGTCTAGTGCTAGGCTACTCTACGTAGTTTCAGCCAGGTCTTCTGGGTAACTATTCCTGAGGTCTGCTCAGGAATGTCTTTCTTTTGCAGACGCCTTTCTGAGCTACTCCCATACACTGCTGTCATGGCCAGGAATAGTGTTGGTGCTCTGCTCTTAAGTCTCCAGGGAACGGGAAGAACAGGAGAGAGGTTTCAAGAGACTCTAACAATCATCACAAACCAGAAGCTGGAGAAGGAGAAGTGGTTTTGCACTCTGCCAAGCAGAGCTGACCACCTGCATAGCTGCAACCTAGTGCTAACATACTAACTTTGAGGAGATCTCAGCTCATTCCTCGTGCTACCTTAATGTGACGACTAGGATGAGAGCTGCACTTTTGTGCCTTCAAAGGAACTTCTGAGGCTAAACGTAATAGGGAATGGACAAAGGAACCAGACCTCCTGGATGAGAAACCCAGAAAGAAAAAGCTCTGAGCTTATGAACAGTGTACGGTAGCATAAGTGCGTTTATATATCCCATTTTTGGAGTCTACTATCACGCTTTTTACCCACGCTTTGGCCTAGGGAATAATACAAAACATGAGCATGCCTAATACTACCTTTCTCCAGAACGCAGACTATGCCCATTTAGCCAAAGCCAAGGCATTACAGAAGACAATCCATAGCTTGGACTTAATCACTGGAGCAAAATGTTAACACATTTTCAACAAATTTAGGGACACTGTGAAATAGGATAAAACAAAAAGAGTACAATGTCTTCTAAATAAAAACAAAGCATTTGGCTGTTTATCCTTCATCGATGAAGACTTCTCCAGAATGAAAAAGCTTTTTTTTCTTATGATAATGACTAGAAGATGTAACAACAAACATACATATTTCGTGACTGTTCTTGCATGTCTGGACTTACTGAAAAATATTGTGAAAAGTGAATGTCAACTAACAAGGCTGAAAGAGAAACTAACTGAAAATCCCTTTGTGTTTCTCTCTCTTTTTCAGAAATTAAAAATATTGATGATTGTGCAGAAGGTACATTGAGTGCAGCATGGGAACAGACTCTGTTTCTAGCCATCAAAAAGACCAAGAGCTTGGCAGATTAATTAAGCTATCAAAGAAACGTCCCCGCTGGTGGATATGACAGCATACGGGGAAGAAGCGTGTATTCCAGATGGTGATGGGGAGGAAAGAGTTTTTTGGTAATTATGACTGCTTATAGCCCTCTAAAATCATTACTTGCTGATGGGTCTTCTGTAGCAGCACACCTAACAGGTTCTGGTAGCTTACTACGGGTGTCGTTAATGACACTGAAATTTAGTTTACTATAAAAATAAAAATTAATTACATTTTTTTAATGTAATACAAAAGTCAAGGCTTATTAAAGATGACACTTATTTCTATCAAAACGTAGCAGTAGATCAGAAATACACTAAATGAGGTTTAAAGATTCCCACTAACTTAAGTTTTTAATGACAACCCACAGATGAAATCCAATCTTAGAATTCTGAAAATAGATTAAAAAATTTGCATAAACTGGCAGAAGTCCCCTAACGCAGTATAAATTGTCCAAGACTATGGCAAGAGGGAGGGGTGGTGGGGGAATGAAGAGAAAATCACCAAAATCTCTTGTTTTACAGTGAAAGATGCGTCAATGCACAACAGCACGTTGTCCTTTCCACCTGGCAAGGCTACTACAGGAAGCAAGTTCCCAAGTCAATGATGATCTCACCAGACCATGAGAGATTAACTTCTGGGATAGCTAATAAACCTGTGTTAAGTGGTACCACAGCAGTAAGTATTTGTTGCTGAGGCAACTAAACTCCATTCCATGGCCACAGCTTATACCGTAGACTGTATTACATACAGGGCAAGAGGCTCTGCAGGTACCAGTAAACCACACCAGAGCCAGTCTGCTGGATACAACTCAGACTCGTCATCACAACATAATCATCATGTGCATCACGCTTTTTCCGTGCAATGAGCAGATTGTGAATGACTTCTTTGCACACTACATGAGGGAAGCTTGCTCCCCCCCGCAACCACAGTTCATTATTTATGCTCACCTGAGAGCAAGGGTTGCTCCCACATGGAAGTAGAGCCGGGGAGAAGAGCCTCTGAAAAGCTGGAACTTTGACAAGTATCATGCGTACGTGGTGCTGCTCTCTTAAGCCAATATACCAGGGTTTTTACTAGAAACCTCCATGCAATCACAAGCTGCTACTGCTTGAGTTAGAGCCAAGCCTTCCTGCTGCTATATGAGTTTTAGATCTTCTGTGGATGTGACACAAACAGGGCTTCTGTAACGCTTGCTCACCTGCAGTCAACACTCCTTTGCTCAGCCCCACAACGTGGATCAAAGCAAAACCGACACGACTGACCCCAAAATTGAGTGTTTTGTTTCACGCTGTTTGCAAGATCCCATCACCAGCCAACCCAGGTGCTGTTTTCATTCTGCCCACACAAAAATCAATGACAAAAAGCAAACTCATGCACACAGGTGGTGCATTTCACCACCCTAAAAGTTAGGATTTTCTCATACCCTTCATTGAATGCCACTGCTGTCAAATCCGTAACATGTTGTAACAAAACCAGCCTTTATGTAACCTAATAAATAAAAGTCACTGAGGCAATAGCTATGCATAAATTTTAGCTAAAAACATTTTGTTAGAAGAACACGAATGTCCTCCGTAAAGCGGGTAGCATTTTAAAATAATGTTCTAGCCATTGTTAATGCTTTATTGCTATTCATCATAGAACCATTAATCATGGTGAACTCATTTGGTATTAATGTGGATGTCATAAAGTACTTCTGTTGCATTTCAATTATAACTCAGCCTTTAAAATGCTGCCAGCACTACATGGAAAGCTTTGAAAACCAAATTTGAATAGTCTGTTCAGAGATAACTACAATCGCATTCTGGCACAGAGAAACAACCTTTTCCATTCCTAATGCCTACCCTCAAGGTGCTGAGGAGCCTGTGAGGCCCTGACCCAAGGCTGGGTGCAAGGAAAAGGGAGCCCAGTAGGAGGCTTCAGGGAAGCCACGGCCATTTTCCTCCCCCGAGATGAGGGTAGGAGAAGCATTCCTTCAGGCTGCTTCAATTCCACCGGTTCAACCGCGACTAAGTGGCAGCAAGACCATACTTTCAGGCCCCTGAGGAGATTTCCTTTTTTCTTATCACTCCTGTGATTCCCCGAGGCACTATCTTGCTTCCAGAGCTGAGTGCTTTGTTTTTCTTTCTCTGATGTGTAGTGTCTGTCCAAACAAAAACACCAGAGAGAACATATATCTACAACCTACTGTCTTGAGAGACAGCACACGAGTATGCAATACATCAGAGTGGACCTAAGGGAGCTGATATCCTGACCTCTCTGATGACAGTTTAAAAAAAAAAAACAACCCTCTTTCTGGCCTCAAGAGGCACTGAAAGAGGAAAACAGGCAGCACAAAATGCAACATGGACCTAAACAACTATCAGCTCCTTGCCATCAGGGAAGCCAGGAACTTGTATAAGTTTACCTTGACAAACCAGGATTTTTGTTCCCTCACTGCCAGCAGAGCATCCATCAGCATTCTACATGCAGAATCAAATGACAACAGCTCAACAATCGTTAACGCTTCTCATCAGAAACCGTGTTAAATGGAGAAAAGACAAAATACTTCTTATTAGCAAAGGGAACTTTTTTGGTTTTTTAAATTCTTGCATATAATGCCCATTCTATTTCATCTAGGTCATCAACGTAACATGTAAGCACACAGAAAAAATTCCTACCTTGGGAGCTCTGGCATGTTTTCCGCATCTGGCATCTTTGACAAGGCTGATATCTAGCAGCTCAGTCTCCTAGAAGGAAAAATTGCAAGACAGATGAGTCAAAAAGCCTTGTTGTGTTAACAGTGCCCCACTTCCCAGATCTGTCAGGGGTTTGCTGTTTGCAGTGACGCCTGTCCAAACTGAGAACAGTTTCAAGGAGTGCTCTGTTGCACTTAAGCTATTCTAATAGCAATACTAAGACTTTAGACACATAACTTGGTTTCCTTAAAAATGTGCAGGTCTCTTATGATCTACAGAATATATAGAAGCTGTACGAGTCAAGCTTATTTCCTGGATCACTAAATACCAGCTGCTGTGCCTTTTTTTTTTCCCTTTTTAATACAATTTTAGCATTTTTATGCTAGTCACAGTGTGAAAAAGGCAACGTTACAAACAGAAAACCCTGCCTCTGCAATAGAAAACCTACTTCATTTTGAAAAGTGCACATAAAACCCAAGAAGTTGTTATATCTACAGTGATAACAGGTTCAACAATTTTAGTGACTACTGCTCAGTGAAAACCATGCACTTTTGACAAGCATTTCATAGTTCATACGTTACTCTTGAGTTGTGGGTTATACAACACATGCCGTACTTGGAACAAAACGGGCACGTGATGACAGCTTCTGTTAGGCAAATCCCTGTCCTCCCCTACACACGTGTAACATGAAGAATCTCCTTTCCCTGATAACCCCTTGGGTCTCTACCCTCCCTGCCGGTGCCTGGCAGCACGGGAAGGACAGGGGCTGAGCCAAGCCCACGGTACCCTGGGGGCACCTGCCAGTGCCAGCCCAGCAGACTGCACCCACCCCTCCGGGATCAGCACGGAGCATTCACTCCTCCAAACATGCAGCGAACTATAGCCTTCAGCCAATGTAATTTTCCCCAATCTCATCCTGCAACAAGGCATTTTCGGATATTGCCATGTTGGTTCTTTCTTGAATGCCTTAACGTTTATGGGCAGGGAGAGTTTGGAAGGAGGGGAGGATGCTGGAGACTGGAGCAGCGCAATTCCCAGCTGCCGGCTCCCTCGCAAGCACGCACATCCATGCGGCATTAGGCGTGTTTTGCCAGGAGCAACACCAAGTCTCCTGCGAGACACAGCAAGAACATCTGACCTGATTTAGCATTACTTGACAATCTTAAAGCACATCTTAATACTATCCGCCTCATTTACGCTAGCATTTGGACTAATAGCCCATGTTAGCATGGCTCAATTACATACTAAATATATTCTAAAAGTACTTCAGCAGGAGCGTGACCACACCGCAATTAGAGCTATACCAGTTCAATGCATTACAGTCTTCCAGTAGTAATTGCAAATACTGCATAGAGAATTTGAAATCTCTGGGCTGGACAAAGCCACTACTATTTTTTTTTTTAATTCCAAGGAGAAAAGAAAAAGAAATATATTTTCTCATGGACATGTCGTTTTGCCACGGATTAATTTGTATCCTTATTTCTTTTCCATTTTAAGGGAGCCGCTCCTGCACAGCTCTTGTAGACCTTTACTGTCTACTAAGACATTAGCTCTACCACCAAATTCTCATGCAACCGTACATTTATCACATTCCCTTCTGTCCCCCACATCAATCCCAATTCTCTTCTGTACCTGCTGAACTTGCATGAGCACTCTTTTGACTCTTCATCTAGCCTGTTTAGGGGAAACTTGGTCTTTGGAGACCTTTATTTTTTGTTCTTACTTGCCCAAAAGAGGACAAGGGTATCAAAACTCGCAGGGATTAGAAAGAAGCATAGGCAGGGTCACAAAAGGTGATATTTTGTAAACCTCCTTAGGAAATCACCCAAACTACACCAATACACAAGGCATACGGACACAAGCACTCTTCTGACAGCCCTGCAGCCTCTCACGTGGACGGCTGATTGCTGTACATAAAAGCTTGTCTACAGCTGTCCCTGTTCCAGCTCAGGAGCACCTGACAGTTTGTGAACCCAACGTTCAGGTCCAGTTTGAAGCTGATCTTACTTCCAGATCTAAACTACGTTGATCCTTATCCTGCCCAACACGAGCACAGCTGACACCAGGAGTTAGGGCAAAGCTCAATCCTGAGTGCAGAAAAGCCCTTAGTGCACCAAAGTCCGGGTAATCTCTCACTATTCAATGAGACAACTGCGTAAGGAATACCTAAAAATCGCAGAGGACAGCGAGCACTAGCTCTCCAACGTGACTGGTCTCCAGGCCTGGATGGGGCCAGCTCCTCACCAAGGGGAAATGGTTGCAATGGTGAAAAAGCAATGCTGATTTCTACCAGCCACAGATCTGTTCCTAGGTTTTACAATAACATTCCCACATTCATATCATTCCTCTCAGTGGAATTTATGTCTCAAGTCCCAGTGATGTTGGAGTAGTGCAAATATGTCTCCATGTATTTTACTACTTCTGAAATCTAGTCCATGCCACATTTGCATCTCAAAATGCAGCATGACACTCCTAGTGCTCATGCAGATCCTACAAATTATTTGTCAATTAAAACATAATTTGTTCCCCTTCCCTTTTCTTTCAAAGAAGTGTTTATATATATATAAATT